GACTAGGTTATGAAAACAACTTAGGACTTTTGCCTACCATATGTATAGATACTTTTGCTCATAAAATTGTCATGTTATGGGCATAAAAAGTTCTTAAACACAGGTTTAACCATTTTAGCACACACCTTGGAGATGGTCCCCATGATGCGTCTCATTTTTCTTCCAGCCCTCCACCTTTGCTTCTAAAGATCTCCATCATGCATGGAGTGTACAAGTCTAGCTCAAAAAAGAATGTAGATAGCAGCGGTACTGTCGATATGGGCAGGAATTCCTTGTCAATCTGAAAAACAGATTAATAATAACAACAACAATACTACTACTACTACTAATAATAATAATAATATTAATAATATGTCAAACATATGAAACTAACCTGATATTGTTGAGGAGGTATAAGAATCTCAGAACACGGGAATGTGGCTTTATTTTTCAACGTATTTCTGGGGAGAGAAATTATTTAATTAAAATAAAATTATTACTCTTGATGAATTTGTGTTAATATCTACATACTGTGAAATGTGAAGACTGTTAGTCAGCCTTAATGCAGAGAGCAGAGAAACTATGACCCGAACAATGATCCACCTAAATAATTCTGAATTCAAAAACTAATTGAAGATATTACAAAAAACAGAAAATACACATGCAATTATTGTGACAGATTTTCTCTTTCTCCTTGTTATTAATTCCGCAAAACACTGGTTTAGTTGAATTCAACCCTTCATCTATCCAGTTAATGCGGTTGTTCCCTTACTAAACTCCACTGACAAAAACAGCAATTTTAAGTACAGCATCATAAAAATCACCAAAACTACTTCAGTCAGTCTTACCACTGCTACCAACAATCACCAACTCCGGTTAAGGAGAAAGTAACCCTTCATTCAAGGAGTTATATGCGAAGACATTACTCTACGCGGCTTTCCCGCCGACATGACACTCTTCAAAGTTAGCTAACTCCAGAGAAGAAACAGTGCTAACCATGCAGATAACCATGAAACACACCTCATTCAAAGTCAACAGACACAAAAACCGAACTTACCAAAA